AGACTTTTTACAACTAATAAAAAACTATTTATTTTTGAGGGGGAGAGAGAAAGAGTGAGAGTGAGCGGGGGAGGGGCAGAGAGAGGGAGTGAGACATAGAATCTGAGGCAGGCTCCAGGCTCTGAGCTGTCAGCACAGAGCCCAACACAAGACTCGAACTCATGAACCATGAGATCATGACCTGGGCCAAAGTCAGACGCTTAACTGACTGAGCCATCCAGGCACCCAACTAACAAACATTTTTAAAGCATTTAAATATCATTCCTCCTCAAACAGAGCATAACCTGTCAATGGCCTTGGAAATGACAAAAGAATGGGTAATAATTTGAGAACTAAAGCTTGAAAAAGGGAAAAGTATTCAATAAATCTTAAAAATGAGGTTTAATGGGGCACCTGGGTGGCTCCGTCAGTTAAGCGTGGGACTCTTGATTTCAGCTCAGGTCCATGGCCTGTCAGTTTGTGAGTTTGAGGCCACGATGGGCTCTCTGCTGACAGTGTGGAGCCTGCTTGGGATACTCTCTCCCTCTCTCTCTGCCCCAAGAGCTCTCTCTCTCAAAACAGATTTAAAAATACAAAAAATAGTAATAACAAAAGGCTTAATGCCATTGGAAGAGGAATAGCTCTATTCTTCTATTTAAGTCACCTAGAATTAGTTGATTTTCTGCAAAATACCTAGGAAAATGTATTTATTATTCCTGGTGTAGTAAGTGAATTCACTGAGTGACAGAAGTGCTCCATCCCTGGAAATTCATGCTTAGAAGCAAGCTCGGGCTACAGACAGAACGCAGAATCTCTTACAATCTCTCTCACAATCTTCTGCTCATACGCAAGAATTCAAATCAGCACCAACACTCAACTGCAAAAATGAGCCAGAAAAGATAAAGAGTCAACAGAGCAAAGAATGAACAAACTTCAATTTGCAGACATCTCTGACATTCAAAGAAGTTTCATCTCTAAGTTTCTCAATACAATTAATCCACCTAACACCAAATTCTGAAGTACCAATTATTACTTGACCAGGCTAAGAAGAAAAAGGAACCAAAGAAATAATGTCTATTCTCCGTATTTACATACTTCTAATCTTCCTGAAAGACTTAAACTTGTTTTATATAAACCACCTCAATTCTCATCGGAGGTAGAGTCAGGTTTCTGGAGGAAAAACAAGCACCAAGGGATTAGGTATCTTGTCCAGCAAGTCACCAGCGAAAATAAAACCAGACCCAATTATTTAGCCTACAAAGTCTAAATAACCTGCTTTTCTTGGTTCATAAACTCAGGACAATATTTTCAAGTGCCTAAAAAGTATCTCAAACCATAGAACTTCACAGAACAATACATATAATCAGAACACGATGCCAGAATTGAGTATTCAGAGCAAGAAAGTACTGCTTGCCCCAAATCAATAAAATGAACTAACACAGTGGACTTAAAAAATACAAGGAGGAAACAATAGCCATATTGGAGAAAATGTTCAAAGGCCACTCTATTCGTCTTATACCCTACTCCTCATATTCTTTGCCAGGGAGCCCAAGGGGTCAAACACGTTCCTTATAACTATATTCTACACATACATCAAATCTCAAAATACTGCAAAGAATTTCAGTGAAAGGTGTATTATACTTTAAAAACCTTTCCCTCCAAAAATAAAATCTTACAGCAATACCTTCAGAGCATTATTTTGTTGCCTTCATGATGCACTTCAAGCTTGGATTTTAAAAATGATTAGCTCCCAGTTTATTTTTTAAATATTTATATTTACTGATTCAGATTACTTAAAATTTGTCATTCTGCTCAGCCTTCATTATGTTTAGGCAAGATTCCCACTTCCACTCAAACTTATTATATGAACATACAATGGGTGCATTAAGATACTTTCTAAGTTAACAGAGAAAACTAATCAACCCAGAAAGCTTCCCAAAGTATCAAAGCAGACCTTTTATTTGAAATCATACTAGGTACCACATTACACACTACATGAAGCCCTCAAAGCAAAAACTGAAGTTATTTCTGCAACATGATGAAATAATTTATTTTTTTTGCAAAATCTGAGAAGACTGAATTTTCTACTGTCAAAAGGGAAATCGTTTTTCAAGATTCTAAAAAACCTTGCTTACTAAGGCAGTCTCAAAGTAGTTTCCTTAATCCTTCCAAATCCCAAAGAATCTAACACAAGCCACAGAACACTGAATGTGACCTACACTGAAATATCTGTGCTCAAACTCCTGAAGGTTATTTCCTATGTGTTTGGCAAGCTGATTGGCTCTATGTCCACGCAACCCCAAAAGTCTTTCCTCAATAAAGCTAACATTATACTCCCTCACTGAAATCAAAATACCAGAAAATCAAAAGCGTCCCAACTAAAGTTTTCTTTAACTATTTGGGAGAAAAAGCCGACAAACCAGGATCAGCTATTTGCACCATGAAAGAGTTAAACAATCGCAGCGCTCCATTCCTGCCACTTTTTAGGAGCTGGATGTACATTACCTCTGTCTGCCTCTAGCATGGGACTCAGATATTACATCACTCAAAGCCTGATAACTGCCCCATTACCCAGAAAGCACCAGGGAAGCTGAGACACTGCACCGAGGTATCCCTTCCTCCCTGATACATAGCCTTCAAATGCCACTGACACTGGGCCCTGCTTTCCTGCAGTCTCTTCACAAAGACATCTGCCCTGCAACTGCTGCAATCCTATTTCTATTCGCTTGTGCTCTCCAAACAACCCTGTACGGCTCTTCTATCTGCCCACTTGCCAGGCCAACGTACGAGGACGATATATCCCACCACACACCTCCTCCAAACTTGGGAGTGTGTACTACTCGGCTCTCCCTTATCCCTTCCCCATTCACGGAGTTCAGGAACTAAAATCAGGCTTCTGATCTTTCTGGTCCTAGATGCATGAACTTTCAGATATGGTACAGGGCTTAATGCCCTTCATCTTTCATTAATATCATTCCAGGATACATATATACATGCGTGCACGCGCGCGTACACACACACACACACACACACACACTCCCTCTCTCTCTTTTAGTTCTATGCCTGGAATGTAAGCCCCTCTCTTTAGTTTTGTTTTGCTTTTTGTTTTTCCAACTTCTGCACTCTACCTTTTCTCATATTTCCATTGACCTAAAATTTCTGGCCCCCCTTAATCTCTCAAGACTCAAAGTGTTCCAATCTCTCCTCCCTTCTCAGCATCCTGCTCCTTCCATTCTCTTTTAAGCAACCTGTTTTCCTAACTCTCTCCAACCTTAAATAGTCTATTTCTGGCCCCTAAACCTAAGCAATCTTCTTCCCCTACCACCACCCCAATGCATTACAGAACCTACTCCTTTCTGGTCAGACATGTTCACATACCTCCCTACCTTGCCCTTCTTTTACCCCATTATAAATACTATACATTCTTCTATATCCTCTACCCAAAAAAATCCTCTCTTCTCTGCCTACCCCCTTCTACCAGACAAAATCTAGCACCCCCAAGCCACGCTTCCCTCTCTATACACATTGTCCTCTAGACCTGCATCCCTCCCCTCCCAACCCATCCCCTACTATCTACCTCTACTGATTTCTCTTCACACGCGTACCACCCCCCTCCTCGCCAACTTCCCTCCACACTTCCTGTCCCCAAAACATTTCCTTCCATCTGTTTTCGTACCTCAGCAGACACTCCAAGAACATTCCCCTCACCCCTCTGGCCCGCTATCTCACACATACACCACTCCACCTGCCCCCTCCAATGTCCCCCAAACCCCAAAGTTTCCTCTCTTGCTGCTCCCCCACCTACATCTACACTTCCCACAAGAACACTCTCCATTTCACTCACTTCTCCTGCTACCCGCTAAATATCCTGCACACCTCCTGTCCCTGCCCATCACCCTACTCTACTGTCCTCACTTTTCTCAAACTCTGGCCCTGCTCCAATCACCTTCCTCCTTCTGCCCCATACTGATCTCCCCAGAGCACCACTAACCAGATAGATACCCGCCTTCTCCTTTAACATGCCCTTCCTGCACATGGCCCACCTGTCCAGGCTCAACACTCGCGGCCTCCTTCCGGTCTTCCCTACACACCTCCGGGCCAGATACAGTCCTCACGTCTCTCACGGGTCTCCAGAAGCCTCTGGGCCTACCCTCACACACACCTCCTGCCTGGAAACCTCCATCTCCCCCACCATCACTCCAGAGACCCCTAGACACCTCCGGTCCCTTTCTCCCCACCACACTACCCTCCACCTGGACACCTTCACGTTTCTCTTCACATGTGTCCCGTGGCCTTCCTTGTATCTGCCCCCTCTCCCTGCCCTCACAACGCAGCCCCTACCGGGACATCCGCTTCTTCTACTCCTCCCTCGAGTCCCTAATCTTCTCCTTCCAAGCCCATCACACTCGCCCCTACCATCCCCAAAGCCTCCCTCACACCCTCCCGAACCCCCAGACTGCCCCCCACCCGCCTAAGTGTCCTCCATCCCTCTCGCACTCGCCTTGGACCCAGTGGGCCCCCGAACCTGCCCGAAGGCCCTCCAGCCCCGTTGGGCCGGATCCCTCCACCCTTCATTCTCCCTCAAGTCTGCCCACACCCTCCACCAGCCCCCCGAAGCCTCGCTCCCTGCCCCTGCCCCCAACGTCCTCCAACACCTGCCCGGAGCCCCTCGCCTTCCATCCTACCCAGACCCACGGCGCCTGGTCCCCTCACACTGCCCACGCCCTCCCCTCGCTCGGGGCCAAGACCCCGTCCCCCCGAAGGTGAGGAAGGCTGCCCGCTGCCCTTGCCCGAAGCGGCCGGAGCACCGCAGCGGCGGCCACAATGCCGGAGCCACGGGAGCCAGGATTGCTCCCTGCTCTCCGCCCGGGCCGCCGCGGCCGCAGCCGCCGCTGCTAAGGACGCACAACAAACAATGCGGGGCCCGGGCCGGCTCCGCCAACCGCCTCAACCGCCGCCTTAACCGCCGCCCGCCCGGGACGGCCCGCCGCGCAGGCGCCTACCCCGCCGCCGCAGCCTACCCGCGCCGCCGCGCTCTGCCCGCGCCCGGTCCCCGCTCCCGCTCCGCCGCCGCCGCCACCTCGTCCGCCCGCGTCTCCGGCTCCTCTGCCCAGCGGCGGCGGCTGCGGCGGCTGCTGCCCTGGTGGCGCTCGCGGCTCCGGTCTCCGCTTCGGCGGCGGCGGCGGCGGCGAGCACGTGACACCGCCCAGCGTTCCCATTGGCCGAACCGGGGGGCGGGCCCCGCGGCTGCTGGGGAACGGAAAGCCCGCCCCTTCGCTCGCCGCGCGCCCCCTCCACGCGCACTCTGCCGTACCTGAGAGCGGCGGCCAGCGCCCGCCGGCGCCGTGCCGCGCCGCCGCCTGCGCCAACTGCGCACCTGGGAGCGCGCAGGGACCACACGCTGGTGGAGGCCTCATGCACCTGCGAGCGGACGCTTACGTAAGCTGCGTCCCCGCCTTTCTCCCGGCGCCAGGCCCCCGCCCGCTGCAGCACCTGAGCCCCGCTGCGCTAGCGGCGTAACTGCAGCGGAGCGGGGACGAGCTGCGCAGGGAGGCAAGCGATATGCACGGAAACTTCGTAACTTCCGAATCTGGGAGCGGCTCCCGGATGCCGCGGCAAGCGGGCCTCTTCGGCCCTGCGCCCCGGTGCGGAGGGCCCCCCGAACCCAAAGCATATGCAGCAGAGTAGGCTCCCCAGATGAAGGACGGAGAGGCTAGAGGGCTTTGACTTAAAAGGTTCTCTCCCAGCCTCCGCCCCTCCTACACTTACCGGCTGTGTGACCTTGACCAAATTAGAGAAACATTCTGGTCGTCAGTTTTATGGTAGGGGAAACTAGGACAATAATTCCGATTTAGGAGCTCTTGGAGAGATGGAAAAAGACAATAGGTGTGAATTCTCCTAACACATAGCAGGTACCAAACAGAAGTTGCATCTTAGTCAGCGACCACCTCTCCTCTTCCCACCCCAGTGGACCTACACGGAGTCATACCTGGGCACTTTCTTGGTACAGCATTCTGCCAGTCAGTTCAGCCCCTTACTGAGCCCCTGCTGCATACCAGGTGCTGTGCTGGATGTTAAGATGCAGAGGTGAATGAGACAAGGTCCTTGCCCCGAAGGAGTTCTCAGCCTAGGGTAGAAACTACCTGACCACCCTGCAACAGGATTTGGAGAGCGGGGGTCCAGGAGGGATCTCCCACAACAGCTCCTTCTGGGCCCCTTTCTAATGTGCCAGAGTCAAATATTTTAACAGCTCTGCTTCATTCACCAGGATAAAGTATGAATACTCTAACTCAACTTAAAAAGTCTGGTGATCTGGCCTTAAGTTTCAGGGTACTTGCCCTTACTTTTGCCCCTCCTTCAGGCGAACTTAACCCTCTAGGCACACTGAACTTCAAAACTGTAGTTAACCAGAATCTGTAACACTTCTGAGCCACCTGAGCCAGGCCCCAAATCCCTTTCTACACCTGTCCCTACCTCCAATCACCCTCACCTTTGTTTACCCGCCTGAAAGAGTCCTTGAGATGCTTAGTCAACTCAGAACGTGTCCTCTCAAAAGCTTCTTGGCTGCTTCAGGTTGTCTAAACTCCTCTGCTTTGCACACAGCTCATTAAACCATGTATTCTTATAGCACTAGATTGTAATTGTTTTGACTGCCACCTCCCCAGACTGTAAGCACCTTGAGGACATAAGTGGGTTAGGGAAGACTACTCATGCAATGAGGTCACTAAAGCTGGGCTTTCCAAGAAGAACATGAATCTGCTTCAGGGAGAAGAGATGCTGCAGTATAAAGGTCTGGCTTCTGTGCACGCCAGCTGTGTGACCTTGGAAAAGCAGTCTCTCCAGGTCTTAGTTAACTCATGTGTCAAGTGAGACCATAGTATTGCCTACCTCGTAGGATTGCTATACGGATTCAATGAGACAGTATATCTCAGGCACTCAGTATAATGCCTGGCACTAGATCAATTTCTAAATTGTTTTAAATAGGTGGACAGCATGGCATGAAGCATTCAGTGGTATCATTTATTCCAATATCTTTATTGGGTTTATAACTCCAAACATTCATGACCAAAAAAAAAAAAAATGCAAATGATAGGAAAGTAAAGAAACTAAAAATTTCTAGTGTACCTTTCCCTTCCCACCCCCATTCGACTCCCTCCACCCCTAATCCAATATGCCAGGGCAGCTACTGTTAACCTTATCATGCCCTACAGTATATGTATATAGAGAGAAGAGAGTTTCAAAAAGTTATGTATCTATAATGTGTATGTTATGCTTGGATTCTGTGCAGAAAAAAACCTAGAAAGGGTTAAACACCAACTACTGTTAAGTTTTGAAAGTAGAGCTAGGTGTGGGGATAGAGCACTTTAAATACTTGTGCACTGCTTTAATTTTTTTAAGGATACATATAAATAGGGATGCCTGGGTGGTTCAGTCAGTTGAGTCCCACTTTTGATTTCTGCTCAGGTCATGATCTCACAGTTCATGAGTTCAAGCCCTGCATCAGACTTCTCACTGACAGTGTAAAGCCTGCTTGTGATTCTCTCTCTCCCTCTCTCTCTGCCCCTCCCTCATCTCTCTCTCTCTCCCTCTCTCTCTCTCTCAAGATAAACTTTAAAAAAAGGAATATATAAAAGAAAGATTTTTTAATGTTATTGAGGCATATTTACATATCATAACAATTTATGCATTTCAAGTGCACAGATCAAGGATTTTTAGTAATGTTACCAAGTGATGCAACATCAATATAAATCAGTTTTAGAACATTTACAGATTCTCCATAAAATCCCTCAGACCCATTTACTGTTAAGCCCATTCCCACTCCAAGCCACAGGCAACCATTAATCTACTCTGTGTCTATTTTTGCTTTTTCTGGATATATTAGATATATTTTTTAATCAAATAAATGTTTTAAAAAGAAAAATAAGGGGAAGCTGGGTGGCTCAGTCAGGTGAGTGTCCAGCTCTTTATTTTGGCTCAGATCATGATCTCACAGTCATGAGACTGAGCCCCACTGTCAGGCTCCACACCAGGTGTGGAGACTGCTTGAGATTCTCTCTCTCCCTCTCTTTCTGTCCCTCCCCCTCCTCTGCTTGAGCTCTCTCTCTCTCAAAAACAAAAGAAAAAAAGAAGAAAAATAAATGTTTCACCTCTTGATCCCACCCAGTGATAGTAATCATTGTTAATATACATACACAGTTCCAAACTCATCCTATGCACATAAATATATAACTTTCACAAAGTGAAATTATGTATACCCTCAGTTTTTATTTTTTCATTTAAGAATATAAAGTAGGGGCGCCTGGGTGGCTTAGTCGGTTGGGCGTCCGACTTTCGCTTAGGTCATGATCTTGCGGTTCATGGGTTCGGGCCCCGCGTCGGGCTCTGTGCTGACTGCCAGCTCAGAGCCTGGAGCCTGTTTCAGTCTGTGACTCCCTCTCTCTCTGACCCTCCCCTGTTCACGCTGTCTCTCTCTCTCTCTCCTAGAAATAAATAAAACATTAAAAAAAAAGAATATAAAGTAAATACACCTCTTTTTTTATTGTTTTATTTATTTTTGACAGAAAGAGAGACAGCATGAGCAGGGGAGGGTCAGAGAGAGAGGGAGACACAGAATCCGAAGATAGGCTCCAAACTCTGAGTGAGCTGTAAGCACAGAGCCTGACGCGGGCCTCGAACCGAGGAACCACGAGATCATGACCTGAGCCGAAGTCAGATGCTTAACCAACTGAGCCACCCAGGCGCCCCTAAATACACCTCTTTTTGTGGCACTGAATACTCTCTGGCATAATGCATCTTAAGAATTATTTAATTAGGGGCACCTGGGTGGCTCAATCAGCTAAATGTCTGACTTTGGCTCAGGTCATGATCTCACAATTCATGAGTTTTAGCCCCAAGTTTGAGCTGACAGCTCAGAGCCTGGAGCCTGCTTCAAATTCTGTGTCTCCTTCTCTCTCTGCCCCTCCCCCCACTCATTTTCTCTCTCTCTCTCTCATAAAATAATTATTTAAAAAAATTTTTTTAAAGAATCATTTAATAAAACCAAACCCCTATGTTGGGTATTTGGTTATTTTCCAATATTTCCACTGCTATAAAAAAGGTAAGATATGAGATACTGTAAAGTTATAGAACTTGATGCACTTTTAAATGATACCTAAGTTCAAATACTAGCACTTGTTGTTTCACCCATTCATTGCACAAATTTACTGAGAACCTACTATGTGCTAGTCCCTAGAGATACAAAAGCAAGAAAACAGCTACACTGCCCTACGCCGGTGGGGCTAGAGGCCAACGTACATTAATCAAATAACATTGAATGGCCCCACAGAGAAGGGAGCAGCCAACAGAGGGGGACAGATCTGGTTCTCAAAGGGTTTCTGAAGAGGCATCTTGGGAACACAGCCTTGGCACAGCACTCTGTCATTCTTGGTAAAGGGAGGTGAATTGGCTCCCTGTATGAACAGTGGGTAGCCCTTCACATTTCCCGGAGCCTTACCACCCTTAGGTCCTCTCACCTCACCCCCTGAAAAGAAGAGAACAGAGGATACTGAGGCCCAGATAAGGTAGTGAATTGCCCAGAGTCACCAAGCCAGGAAAGGGCACAGCTGAAATTGAACTTTCATGTCACTCCTAGCCCAGTGTTCTTAGTCCCAGATGACACTGCCCTTTATAGAGGGTGCTCATCTTTGAAGAATCACATTGAGATAGAGGCAGAAAGCACACAACACCGTACTCCCTGATGCCAAAGACACTAGCCACATGTGGCTATTTAAATGTAAATCAGTTAAAATTAAATAGGGGAGCCTGGCTGGCTCAGTCCATAGAGCGTGTGACTCTTGATCTCGGGGGGTCATGAGTTTGAGCCCCATGCTGGGGGGAGGAGATTATATCAAATAAATAATTTAATTTAATTTAAAATTTAGTTCCTCAGTTGCATTAGGCATGTTTTAAGTGCTCCATAGCTCCATGTGGCTAGTGGCTACCATACTGAACAGCACTGATGTAAAACATTTCTGGGGTGACTCTTGATCTTGGGGTTGTAAGTGCAAGCCCCCCCCATTGGGTGAAATTACTTAAAGCTAAAATATTTTTAAAATAATTTAATTAATTAATTAATTAAATAAAACATTTCCATCACTGCAGAAAGTCCTGTTGGATAGTGCTAGTCT